TGGCTCTTCGCGTGAAAGTGATTTGAATTTGGCTCGGCGGCGCTCTGCGCAGGCGTCCAGCTGCTGGCATGCTGGCTCCTTGCAAAGCAGCTGTTTTGGGTTTGAAATTCCAACATGGCAGAGGCTGCAGTCAGTCTTCCCTTCAAAAACTTGGAATGATTTCAAATCATAGGCACCTTCACTTAACCCGAGCCCCCATTCATCAGCAAACACATCGGATCGATGCTACTCTAACCTATCGGGTTCTTGTACCAAATCTCCAGGTAAGAGGATTTTTTTTTTCTCTAGTCCCCCTACCATCGTTTTAAATTGTATTTAATCTTAAATCTCTCCGAGACAGCCGCGTATTTTTTTTTTTTTTATCGCCCGCTTGTGCCCTAAATATTTTTCCTCATTCGCAGTCGTTTTCTGCTACTAAGCACTCCCGTCTGCTTTCCTAATGGTAGTCTGGAAAGTACAGATATACAATCGCAGTGCATGGTTTTTCCTCCTTGATCATTGCCAACAATAGTAGGCAGATTAAGAGTTCGCGATTGCAAGCTCCCTCCCCACCTCCTTCTCTTTCTCTAATTGGATTTATTTTTAAGTTGCATTGAAAATAATAAACTGCAGGTAACGCGGGGCTGGACTCTGAGGCAACTAACTTCTGAGCAAATAAGTGCAAATAAGACTCTCGCAAAACAAAAGTTAGGTTTGAATTGCTGTGTCTTGGCTGGGGCGGGGGGGGGCACGAATATGTCAGAGGAGCTGTTGCAGTAAAATGTAAGCACATCATCTTGGAGGGGGTACAGCGTGGTGGGCGTATTGTTGGCTCGGAAGGGAGAGAAAGATGTATAATTTAATGGTATATACAATCCACTGATCCTATTACTATCCTCCCTGGAGCTCTTGTTAGTTTCAATGGGAGTGAGTGAAATTGACATGGACTTGCATTCCTGGTCATGTGCTTTTTTTTCCCCCCTTTCTTTCTTCCCTTGTGATCTGAGATCCCCTTTTTGTTGATGTTGCTTTCCCACTTAATTATATGCATGTAGGTTAAATGAATACCTGACGAAAGGGCCCACGTTTCAAGGCAGTGACATTTGATAGCTGAGAGGAAAAGTGGCTTTAATGAAAAGCAACCTTTGGAATTCCTGCTTGTGAAAAATCCAATTCAGCTTTTTGTGCTGCCAGCAAGAAATGATCAGTAGCACCAGTGTTTATGGTATGTCCGTTTTGGGATCTACTTCCTTTGCATCTAAATAGCAAAGACAAATTTAAATAGCATGATAATGCACCAAGGAATCTGCATGCAAATATTTTGTAATAAATACCTAATGTTTAATAGTATATTTTCACTTATTTGTATATAAGCATTTTTTTTTCTTGCTATCATTTGTTTATCATTTCTGCTTCGATTATAGCATTAGTTTTGTCCATTGTATTGACCTCAGTTGTAAAACCTAAAGTTGCATATTACTAGCAGTGCACTATATACACCACTGAACTCCAGTGGTATGTAAATTAGTTAAACTCAGCGACTGGAGAAGGGGAAAATGCGTAGCAATGAGTATATACACCTATATGTCTGTGTACTTGTACATACATGCCTAAAATGCATCTTTTTCCATTTGCAAACTAATAATTTTTGAGTATTTATTTGAACTCCATCTGCTTTTCCCTCTTGCTTTCAGTGTAATCATCTGTTAGAGGTTTTAACTGATGTGGGGTGAGGGAATGTTTTGCATGTAAACAAACAAAATTACTGTTGTGGCCGAATATGTAATACTATTTAATAAGTGGTATTTTATGCCCAGTTTACAAGTGTCTGGTTCCTACTGCTTTGTTCTCAATGTGTAACAGAATGAAATAATCAGGTGCTTAAACTGGCTTCATTTTAGCGGTCACTCTCCAGCCCCCCACACCACCCCGTCCTCCAAAAAAGTCAGATAAAATGGAGCACGGGGAATTTCAACAGATCTTGTGGTGCAGTAGATGCACCTCTAGGTGCAATTAAGGCTAAGGAACGAATAACAGAAGTGACTATTAGTCTGTTTTATGCAACCAAAAGGGGGGTATGTTCACTTTTAATTGCGTGTGGTAGCAACAAATAAGGATGGAGAGAGACCCTAGGAGAGCGAGCATGTGTGTGTGTGTTTGGGATAAGGGGGAGGTCTGGTGCGTGTGGCTGATGATCTCTCGTAATAACATATCTGAATGCAAGAAAGAAATTGAGAGAGCAGTTGCACAATGTACACTCCTATTTCAGTGCTGTAGGTGACTATATTGCTAAACATATCCCGGGTGCTATATGATGGTATGATGGGAAAGATCTGATTGCATCTTGCATTTAGAACTTGTTGACTTTGAAGCGATCAATAAGGCGACTGTTTATTTTAGATGCACATAATTTGCCCTGAGAAATGTTTTAAGGAGGAGAACGAGCGAGAGCGGAACGTGGTTTTTTTTTTTTTTTTTTTTTGGGTTGTGTGTTTGTGGTTTTTTTTTTTTTTTTCTTTTCTTTTTCCTAGAGCTGTTGGAGCGAATGTGATTGCCAGATGGGAGATTTCCCTCTGTGATGTTAAAGCTGTAATATATATTCAGAGCAGATTGGACTGCCGCTTGTGATGAGGAGGATATTACATTTATAAATTTTAAATCGGGAATGGGACAGTATGCTGAGAGCTGAAATTGGATGGTGTGGATGGTTTGGACTGTTAAATGCAATTCCCAGATAATAATTATAGTGGCAGTAATGTATATATATGTATAATAAACATGATATTATTAGGCAGGCTATATATATTCTATGGCACTTTAAGTATATATTTCGAAATATTATTTCTCTTCCCCCCCCCTTCCCTAAAATGTTAGAGATTGGAGGTGGTTGGGAATGGGGTTTAAAAGCCCACTGTTAGGAGAAATCAAACATAATCAGGTTCCTGTTTGAGAAAAAGTTTCGCTACAGTTCTTGTTGCGGATTCACCTCTCTCTGAGTTTTTGTTTTGCCCGTGTATGTGGCCTGACAGTGCCACAATCCTGAAAGGCTGGAAAGTGGAACTAGTCACACTCCAGCAGCTCTGCTGTTGCAAATTAAAAGTGTGTTGTGGTCAGGAAATGAAAGCTACAATGTCTCTTTTGAACAAGTCGTTTATCAAGAGAAACATCTATCAAGCAGTGACTTGTCACATTGATCCTCTAAAAGTTAGGTCCGAAGTGGAAGCTGCTTTGATGTTTTTGATCCCAAATTTACAAAATTGAAAAAGCTGGAGAGAGTAGGACCGATTTGCACTTAAAAATGACTCTGCTCCCTGGGCGTGACAAAATCATCAAGTATCTGTGATACCGAGCTGATAAACCAAGGAGGTATCGGATCTTCTGTCTAGTTTTTATTTTCATGTTGAAACTTTATCTTTGCTGCACGGGCATCTATTTTCATGTTTTTAAAGATCCTCTCTGTATGCCCGTGCATTATTTAATTGGGGATATTTTCTTGCTTAGGGAGACATCTGTTGCTTCCAAATTGAACCTTTTACCGTTGTTTTTGTGATGGTATTTATAGAGTTCAGTTTGAGAAGGCATTTTCAGGGTTTTTTTTTTTCTCATTTCAGTCTTGTTTCTTTTTCTGTATTTGTAATATCAGTTCTACCTCTCCTCCCTATGAAGCAAAGTTTTTTTTCATTGCCAAAGTAATGTTTATTGGAAGTAAGGTACATTTGAAGACATCTGTTTGCACAGTTTAAAACACATTGAGTCCCTTTAAGTGTGTCTTCCTCTCTCCATCCTCTTTTTGTGTCCATTTTTGACGTATGAACCACACTTTGATTCTCAACAGAAGCAGTGTGTTTCAAATTGAATATAAAGTTGAGGTTTCAAGTAAAAAAAAAAAAATCAAAACAAAGTTTAAACTGATCTTTTATCTCTACTTATTTTCAACGATTGTAATTGTTTAGCAACTTTTCTAAAAAGTTTTTCATTTTGCGTGAAGTTTGTGTTTGGATTATCAAGAAATCTCTTCGACAAAAGAGGGTTTTGGTGTTTGTTATTGGGTTTCTGTTTTCTTTTTCTTTTTCTTTTCTTTTCATTTTGGCTAAGGTATGAGCAAAATCTTCCTTAAAGCAGGATGCTTTGCCTTCTTCTCTTCAGTGTCGTAAATGAGACTAATACTGCTTATGGATACTTGATAGACACCCATTTGCAAATAGGCAGCAAACAGCAGCGTGGTGGGAGTTTTGGTGAGTGTTATACTTGCTAATTAATCATGTTTGAAATGAAGGAATTGTAGCATGGTAATAAAGGCTCATTGTTGTTTGATGTTTGTAACAGGATGTGACTCCTACAAGAATCTGGTGGGTTTGGGGTTTTTATCATTATTTCCCCCCCTTAATCATAAGATACCTTCACTACTCAACCAAATTGTTTTTATTTATTGCAGCATCTGTGAAAGCACAGTGATGTTTGCTTCTCTTATTCTAGCAGTATTTTAGAAATATGAAGGCTGTATTGCTATTGATATCTCCATCATACGGTTTATGAGAAAAAATGACAGTCTTGTCATTAGCTTTCTTTAAGACTTTTTTTTGTTTAAGCAGAGCCAAAAATTCTTAAGTTGCGTTTTGTTGGGGGTTGTTTGTTTTTTCTGGACATAAAAAGCCTACTACTCTTTTTCTCATAATCAATGAAATGGCTCTTCATGAACTTTGCGCCCTACTTGCTTACGCATATGTAGTAAGGAATAGCAACTAAAAATATATTTCAGAATAGTTTGTATGCTAGCCCTTTAAAAATTAAACAGTAAAACACTTGGATGGTGTTTTTGTTACCTTGTTTTGGGTTTTAGTATGGCTCTTATCAGATGTGTCATATTTAAGCTTTATTGCTCAGCTTTCAATTAATAATTATTATATACGAAGGAGAGAGATGTGATCATCTCTTTCAGACTGCAAAGCTTTGGTTATAAAATTTTAATTAATTAAGGCTATTTTATGCTGCATGAACAAGGTTTGAAATCTGCTTTTTGTTTAGACAGTCTCCTCCTTTTTAAAAATATAACTCCTAGAGGAAAATTATTCTTTGTTTCCTGTCAATATGTTTATTCAATGAATGCATACAAGAAGCATTGAATATAATGACTGATCTTCCTGTAGTCTTAATCATCAATTAATAGGCTTATCTGCTTGTTAGGAGTGGGTTTAATGGTATGGAATCAGCATGAGATCTCTGGATGTGAAACATTTGTGTGTTGTTTGTAACAGACTGAGTTTTGTTCTAGCATTCTCAGATC